ACCCGAAACCCTCGCGATAAAGTCGCGACTAGAGCCAGATGTTGGTGTACGAAGATCGCCGAAACTCCCGTATATATCCCGCTGCGTACAACATCAAAGGTTATTCTGAGACATAGATGAATTATATCCGGATTATATTGAAGCTTTCAAGAGTATAACCAGATATAACCCATTGTAGCCTCAATAACCACTGATTAGCGGAGAGCTGAGTAAGATGTAGGCAAATATTTGCCCCCCTCCTGCCCGCAAACCTCGCTTACCTCGCTCCACCCTCTCCGGTGTACGCAAATTTTTTCCCTCCTCCTCACCTACCCGAAACCCTCGCGATAAAGTCGCGACTAGAGCGGCGTACGAAGATAGCCGAAACTCCCCCGTATATATCCCCTTCCATTCCGCTCCATACCCGCTAGCCCTAGTCTTTATCTTTCTTCATCCCAACAAGCTTCTCTCGCTTCAGCTTCTCTAAATCCCGTAAATCCTCGTTCCAACGGGATTTACTAAATCTGGTTTTAGGCAAAACGAAGGAGAAACGGGTTCAAGATCCCGTGGGATTCAAAGTTTTCTTTGGCTGGATATAGGTTAAATTCTGCTTAAATTCTGCTTAAATCCTGCTACTAAGAGTTGCTCGCTGCCATGTGGAGAAGCGCCGTGACGAGGAGTCTCATTCTCCTTCCCTCTCGCAGTGCAAACCGCAACCCTAGTCTTACCCCAGTGTCCTGCTTTGCACGTCATTCCATTGCGCCCTTTCTTGCTTCTTCCTACTTCAGTGATAGCTCTGTAGGGCTTGAGAGTTGTCTACCCCAATTTTCCCGACTCCATTCCGCGGCAGGTCCCTGGAAGCCGGAGTTCGGAAAGCTTTCCATCCGAAGGAGAGTACCTATAGGCTCCGCCGCAGCCACCGCTGATCCCGCTGCTGAGGCGGAGGTGGTGCTGGGATCTTGGGGGTATGCTCCGGCGTTACTATTCCAGAAGGTCAGGGGCATCTCTGAGGTTGTCAATCACTATGGTCGATGCTACTGGGAGCTCTCCAAAGCACGTCTCAGGTATCGGATATTTGTCTAAAATTTTAGGGATTTTTTTTTTCAATAACTATAACGGTTGGTTTCAAATTTGTCTAATGTAATAGGAGAACTTTATTAGTAATTTGGAACAATCCTATTGAAGAGAGAGAATCCCTAGAAACCTGAAAAACTAGTAGATCCATGTTAGAACAAACACGCTGGCTTAGGCTCTGTTTGTCGCACTGCGCTGCCCCAGGAAGCTGCTGCGGGGAAACTGACTGTCTGTTTGTTGCAGCTAGAGCTATAAATGAGCCCAGCTTGAGCGAGCTCAGGCTTGGCTCGTGTTCGGCTCGTTCGAAATAGCTCGTGTTCGAAAGCGGCTCGTGTTCGAAATCAGCTCGTGAACAGTGCGTTCGTGTTCGACTCGATTAAAATATTCGTGTTCGTGTTCAACTCGTGTTCGGCTCGAAATTGGCTCTTTAAACTTAAATTGAGAAAAATAGATGTAAAGTGTGAGATTCGAATCTAGATCAAATATATACAAAAGAATGTATTAACCACATTGCCACATGAGGTGTTATGATTTAAACTTAGACATAAATACAAATAATATGTTATTATATGAATAATATATGTAATATATTGTTATATAAATAGTTATATAATTTTTTTTTATTTCGAGCTAAAACGAGCCAAACACGAGCAAACGAGGAGCTATTCGTGTTCGGCTCGTTTATAATTCGAGCTTTAAAATTTTGTTCGTGTTAAGGGCGAGATCATTGAGGAAAGATTCCCTTTGGTGAAATTTTTGGTGAACTCTTTAGCAAATTCTCTTGACGGAGAGTTCATTTTGAGTGGATGAATAGCATTAGTAAAACTTCAAATTCTTGGTGAGTTATTCTAAATGATTCTAATAGAATGTTCTTTTGGACAACGTAATGCTTTCAACAAATTAGTTCAAATGCCTTACAACTTGTTGAACTTGATTCATGATGGTGATATGACTTGATTAACGTGAACTAGATGACTTGGTTGTACATTAGCTCACTGATTCTCTTTTCTATTTTTAGAAGCCAAGAAGAACATGAGAATGAAGCTTTCAAAATTGAATTTGGCTCTTGATGAGTTGGCATATTGATTGTCATTGTTTACCAGAATTTAACTACTTTTCTCCTACACACGTAGATGTCACTGAAAGCTTATAAATATTTTCCTGGAGTTAATTTCAAAGTTTTTTGTGTCTCTTCTTTTTCTTTTCTCCTCTATGCTTATATTAATATTTGGTTTTGTTGAGATTAAAAGATTTGAAAATGACAATCCTGAGAACTTTTCTCGCCTATAGTTCATTTCAAATTTATTTACTATGAAACATGAAAATGAAAAGCCTTGCAAGAGTACTTGGAAGTCATGCTGCAGTCGCAATTGGCTTATCTTGAAAAAAGGAAGATTGAACCTTTTGGTATGACTAATGAAGTTGTGGATTAAGTGATCTTGGTCAATCTAGAGACGATTACCTTCCAAGCATTTTTTGAGAAAAAAATTGTTGAAGAGACATTTTTCTACCACCTCTATTGAAGGTGAGAAAGAAACCGATTATTTTAATATCATCACCAAGCTTACTGTGAGTGAACTCATATGGCTGGAATAGAATTACAATATTCTTTTAAAGGGACTTTGAGTGCACAATTACACAGTCCAAAACTATCATGGCTTTCTAAATTAAATTATTATATTTATGAGCCTCAAGCTAGAGATTGTCTAGAGAAGTCACCAATGCTTGACCTTTCTATGGATGGCCCCAGTTCAAAAGATCCTCTTGCTTTTCATGTTACTTCTAGAAGAGGTTCTTCTTAGGAGGTTTGAGCTACTCTTGAAATTATGAAAAAGATGAACAAATTTGGTTCTGAAATACTAACTCCCATGGTTTTTATTACGATTGATGAGTGAGGTTGAGCCACTTCTGAGCGAAGTTCTAAGATGAGAAACTTTGCCTAAGTTTCTCTTAGAAAAGAAGTTGGGGTAACGATCTTGGGGTTGTAGTTTGACATTCTTGTTGCTGAGATTATATCTTTAATGAATACAGTAACTTAATATGCTAAACCAAAGAAATCTAAATTTATTATATAATGACCATACCTTTCTAATGAATTTTCCCATAAGATGCACCTGAAAACTGGCATTAACAACTTAAAAATTGAAGATATTTTGATATGAAAATATAGAATCTTCTTATTCAATTTAGTTTCTTGCTGGAGGCAAACCTATTCTTTGCCACTTGATTCAATGCCACACTGGTTCATTAGAGATAATTTTTTATCATGTGTCATGCTTCCTTTTTATTGCTGGAACTTCTAAAGATGAAGTTAAGACATGCCAACTTCTTTAAGTTGGCATATTGATTGTTGACTTTTTGGCGTACCTTCATGAAGAAAAAATAATTTTATGAGAAGCTTGCTCGTCTTAATTCTTCTTCTTTTTGTATTTTCTTTTTGTTGTTTGCTTGGTTGTAAGATATGTTTCTTTTCATATGACATTGTGTTTGTGATAAAAAATAATGTCTAGAGTTTAGTTCTCATTCTATGTATGTTGGTTTAATACTCAGTCATATTTTATGAAAAATAATCCTTTTTTTTTTAATATGTCACTTATTCTTCCCATAATGATGAGATGGATCTTTTTAATCATTACAAATAATTTTTAACATTTTGATTTGTGAGCTGTGGCAGCAGCTTGATCAACGAATATTGCCAAATTACTGTTTGATACTTCAAATTTTTTTCATGATTTTGGTCCTTCATGTTGAAGTTTTTTATTCTTAAATTCCATCTTCCTGTGCCTTCTTTACTCTTGTTTCTGTTTCTTGATTTAAGATGGATGGTTTGTAAATTAAGAGCCTTGAGGCTTTTTCGAATATCGAGTTCAAATCAGCCTCCTACATAACAAATAAGATAGTGGAAGCTTCTAAGACAAACTAACTTGCCAATTCACTTAGTAATGAAAAGCTATATTTTTATCACTACCATTTCCATCTTGCCTTGTATTTCCCTTTTACCATGACGTCATCAACGTCCTTAAATTTAAGGATTTGATTCCTCCTTATGTCATGTCGAGCTTATTTGCGAGAATACTTTTTTTTTTTTAATTTCGAAGAGAAGGTGAAATAAAGTATAAATTAATTTCCATATATGTCCTTCCTAAAGACCCTCAAAATTTGTTGCATTTTATTCTCTTCAATGCCTTTGCAGATAAATTGTCTAGAGATCATGGTGAAAGATTAGAAGATTAAATATTTTTGTGTTAAATCAGTTGAGAGTTGGCTAAGCAAAGACTATGCAAATTCATGAATTACAAAATCGCATCTCCTTTTTCTCCAATGGTCAAGTATGAGTAATTCATGGATATGAACAATAAAGGTTTTGACTATCACTTTTATATTGCCTATGTGAGAATAAGGCAAGCTCTTTTGTTTCATTTATTATGTTCTCATTTCCAAGTACTGAACTCTCATCAAAAGTTTTTCTTCCAGTACTTCTCTGTGTGCATGTTGCCTGTAATTGGCCTTATGCCGTCCTTATTTGTAATTGGCCTTGTTCTGTACTTCCAATTAATAAAATATGTAGTTTTCTTTTTCTTTATCATAAAAAAAAATTATTTTGATGATGTAGCATGACAACATTTTTAAATCGAGGATGATAATAGTGATGTGAAGTGTCCTCTTAGGAAACATTGGGGTGTTGTTTCTACGTTCCTTTGCTATATCATTGAAAAATGCAGCTGGTATGAGAATTTCCTGAACGTAATCTCTTATAGTGTGACTCACCCTGATGACTTTATTTTGGCATTTGATCTCGTTCTTCTCTTCCTCTTGATGGTAGCCCCTAACCTTCTTGTTACCACATAGCTTTTCTCCTTTCACCTGAAAGATGATTTGAGGTGCTGCTGCATCATTTTCTCCTGGCTCTCACCTCTTGAGAATCTCATAATTATTTTCTTCAGCTTGCTCTTCATCAACTTGTGCTAATTTTTTTCAAATGCCTTGGCAGGGGACAGCATCTTTCATTAGCTTCTCTTTTCTATAAATTTGGGGGAAATGATGATTTTTAATGACTTTAGCTTTCCTTTCTAGCTGCCGATGGTTTTCATCGCTTGGTTTTGTTTCATTTCTTGTCCTACTGGCCATGTTCAGCTTTCACACTGCTTCTTTTGTCTGTTGTTTACTCTGCTTGGTCTTCTTGTCTCTAAAAATTTATAGACAATCTCACAGTAACTGCAGTGGCTTTACTTTCATTTCTGGCTAATTTATTGTCAGCCTGGATAATGTGAATAGAGACCATACTTGGATCTAGAAATAACTAATTGATTATCTAGTTTATATATTTACAAGTCAAGTCTTATAAGTAGCTTCACATGCTCTCCATTCATTATTCGTCTTCAATATTTTAAGCATACTGATGTTATTTCTTTGGCTATATTAGCAACTATAACCGCGGTTTGTCATTTGAATTTTCTGATTGTGAACCATGTGTTGTTTGTATGCTTGCCATTAGTTACATCCACTTAATTGAATGCGCACCTCATTGCAATTACTCCTTTGTTGCACATTTACAACATTATCACAGAGAAGTAATGTTACCGGCTGTTGTGGCAGTTTGTTGTGATTAGTCTATTCATTGAGATTAATAGAACTTTTTGTAAATTATGAATTTTACTTTATATTTGGAATCTATTTGATAGTTAGATAACTTAGTTGGTGATTTGAAAATAAGCATTCTCAGGAGTTTTCAGTGCAAAGCCAGCTTGTATTGAGCAATTCATTATGTAAGAGTGGGTGCAATGCTATTCATTACACGTGCTTTTATAAACATCCTACCTTTCCAATATATTTTGTGCTGAACCTCCCCTCACTATCACTAGATTAGCATGCTTTTGGCTGTCCTGGAGTTAAAGAATGTCATTTATATATTCTTTTTCAAGTTTTCAGGTTTTGCTTGAAACTGATCATAATGGAAACTGAAAAACCTACATTTTCTGTTTGTATTTTAAGACAACCTTCAATATGTTATTGATAATGTTTTCTATGTATCCTTCAAAGCATCTTGAACTACATCAATCAGGAATATCAATTTACATCTTTCGAGTTTTATATGATAGTTGATTTGTTGTTGCATCATAGTTGTTTTTAATCTATTTTATGACTTTAGGATGACTGCTACAGAGATTGCACCATATTATACAAAATTTCAGTTCTCTTTTCACATTATTGTAATTTGAAGTGTAACTTCATAATATTGCTATGATAAATTGTGGTTATTAATAGGAGCAATAGAGAGCTTGCTTCTTTTACACTGCAGCTTGGCCAAGTTACCGCATTTGTAGGCACATGATCACCTTCATGTTACTTTATTTTTTTTCTCTATATTCATCAATTTTTTTCAATAGTAGTTGAATAAAGTAGTGAATCTTCCTTTTAAAACTTTAGTGTTTTTCTTTCACTATTTTTCTTTCAATAGTATATGACTGTTGGATGCTATTTTATATTTCTCTTCAGCATGCTTGTGGTTGCAACTTCTGGAGCAGGTTATGTTCTGGGAAGTGGACATGTTATAGACGTTGTTGGCCTTTGTTGTACTTGTGCTGGGACCATGATGGTTGCTGCTTCCGCTAACACTTTAAATCAGGTAGTTCTTTAAGCAAAATGGTAGAATCCAATGTTTATCATTTGTTATCTCATCGTCTTCCAATTTGCACATCAAATATCATTTTCCTGTCCTTTGCCAATGAGATACAACCTGCAAATTAATAGTGGGAGTTGGGGTGCCGGGTTCACGTGTTGGTTCGGGTTTGCCCCAAAATTGAACTAACTCGAAACTGCTTGACCTTAACCCAACCCGAATATTAAACGGGTCCGAAAGTCCAACCCCAACCCGACACACCTTCAAACCCCGTTTAACGTAAGGCATAAAAGTTATTCGGTAATATTTTGGTTGTTTATAACCAATTTCGAGTTGGCGGGTCGATTTTGAGTTATTTTCAGGAAAGCGGGTCGGATTCAGGTCAATTTTTGGTTGGCAAGTCAACTCAAACCCAACTCCAAAAAATAAACATGTTAGGATTTCTAACTCGAACCCGACCCAAAATTATTCGGGTCATCCCAAACCTCGAGTTTTTTGAGTCGAGTTTGTGTTGACTTGGCATGTCGAGTGAATTTTTTACACCCCTAAGTAGGAGAGTTTATTTTTAAATCACAGCAATTTCATGCTATGAGGGTTCAAGTTTACATGAAAAACCACATAGTTAATCATTTACGTAGAGGAATATAGAGGACCTACAAACTTCTTCCTCTTTGATACCCATGCTATCTTGAAAACATGTCCTGCCACGACTAAAACTGTTTTGTGTTGCTGTTTTTTTTTTTTCCTTTTTTTGTTTGTGTCTCGGGGTCAGGTTTAATATATTTTGGTTGTAAAGGTGTTATTTAGAATTTATTAATCATATAATTTGACTATGAAATTCTAATATTACTGAATATTTTTTGTACCTTAAATTTTTTGAGGCTTTTGCTGTACCAGATTAATCTGTTTCGGCTTCTGAACCTTATAAGTGTTGTATCACAATGAGCAATGCCATTGAATGTATAATTAGATGGTTTTCAATGTTTGTTTGTATCATCACATTACTTAGATGAACCTATTTTTTCACAAAATAAATTATTATTTGTTTTGTTCGTTTTAGTTTAACCTAAAACTTGAATTCCTAGTATTAGCCCTTTGATAAAAAATCAATTTTCAGTTTAAACTTTGTTTTACTGGGGTTATTCTAGGTTTTTTTATTGTATATGGACATCCATTGAGTAGTTAATCTGCTAATATTATATTTTGTGATGTTGAATCAATGTGACTTTGATATGTAATTGATATCATATGGTTGATGAAAATTACGTATTATAAAAAGCTATTATAGGCTACGATCATCATGAATTCCTTTTGCTAACTGAAGTCATTAATGCCCAATATTAACCTTTGATAAAAAAATCAATGTTCAGTTCAAACCTTGCTTTACTCGGGGTTCTTTAAGGTTTCTTTTTTTATATGGACATTCATTGAGTAATTCATCTGTTAATATTTATATTTTATGGTAGTGGATCAATGTGACTTTCTCATATGGTTGATGAAAATTACATATCATCAAAAACTATAATGGTCTACATCATAAAAGATGCTATAGGTGTACATTTAAACTAATAGATTGAAAGGAAAATTTCATTTCAGTAGTTTGGTTGATTTTTTAGTAGGATATTTTCATGTTTTGCTTTCAATAAAAGTTGTTTATGATGTTCTCTACTTTGAGAATGGGCTGTATTTGCTAAATTTTCTCTTGAAATCCCTATTTTGCATTTGATGGTGGTATGGCATTTTGAGGTTATTAGATCAATATTTGTTGTTGCCTTGGAAGTATCATGGTTATGGCTAGATTGGGGTTTGCAATTGATGTGCAATTGGCTGCTACAAGATATATGTAGGCAGTTGCCCAGGGCATCTTGCAACTTCAACTTGTTTGTCATTATTGGCTTTTTGCGATAATGGAGGAAATGGGCTTGTGGATGATGAGAATTAATGGTTTTGTATTTTGCAATTTTGTATCTTGTCGGATATGAACTTAGGATTTTTATTTTCTGAAAATTTTAATTATAAATAGAGAAATTTGTTATTATAAGGGAGGGTTCAAATAAAATCGATTAAGGGTCTTGCTTTATTTATTGTAAAAGAAATTTAGTTTAAAAGGAATGCAATGTAATAAAAATCTAGTGTATTTGAATTTTTTTGTAATTGGGCCAAGTTATAAAAATAGTTTAAGGGATGACCTGATTTACCAAAAAAGAAATATTTTATAAAATGATGTAGTGTAACTAAAATGTAGTATATTTAAAATATTTTAAATTTTTTTAGTTAGGTTTAAAATAAATGTAGGAGATTGATTTTTCTGTTTGGTTTGAAACAAAATTAAATGAATGCACAGCTTGATGGTAAGACACAATTCTCGGATGGCTAGTGGGCGGCTAGAGGCAAGAACTTTGAGTGAACTAACTACTTATGGTTCAGCTAGATAAGAGCTCATTCATGATCATTTGATTAGCGATTTGAATGAGCTTGAACACTTTTGTAATGCTCAGTTGCTAAATGAACATGTTTGAACAACTTATTTGATTCACTTATGTTCATATCAATGTCATTTAAAGCTCGTAAATAAGTTAGTTAAGAAGCTTGATTACGACTCGACTACACCTCGATCATGTTAATTATACATTTGAATGTTTATTTATAGGCTCAACATACCTTATTTGATATGTGTCATTTATTCTATCAAACAAGCTGCTCGTATATAGCTTGAATAAAGCTCAATAAAGGCTTGATTATGGTCTCTTTATTTTGTTAAATGATCAGCTCATTGATAAGTTAAAGCCAAGTTGGAACCGGGCTCTAATATACAAGCTTGACTTCACACTTTCTTAAAAGCTCGAATCGAGCTCGGGCCCAGCTTGAACAGAATTTTAATAAACGAGCTCTAGCTGGCTTGGCTTCGTTTCTTTGTGCCTCTTCCGGAAGCCGGTGGCAGTCGATGGGGGGCAAGCAGTGGCGCATATCGGTAGCTTTTGTAGTGTAAGATTCCCAATTCATAGTTAACCATATAGTTCGAATATGTGTATTTAAGAATCGACCGATTCAGTCAATTAATCTTGCTTATGTCTAAGTATATCAACTTTCAACTAAAGTCATATTCAATAGAACTTTACACAACATTATATTTTCATACAATGAAATGCCACATCTGGAAATCCTCTACATTTGGTTTGCATTACATTTGTAATGTGGGTAACCAAACACCTTCTTAACTGTTCTCAATAATTTTTTAGTCGGATGTGCAATTGCTTTGAGTCTTCTTGTACATTTAGGTGTCTAAAGTTTTTTTTTCTTAGAGAGGCTGTCACTTTGTAAAATTGTGAGGCTTTGTTTGATGATTAGTTGTATTTTTTTTTTATTTGTTCTTTCTAAATATTAATTTGGCTTGGACATGTGATTGATATGTCATCAAAACTTGATATATTCTAGATATCTCAGATAACATGATTCTCAATTTATGATTTTATTTTTCAGATTTTCACACATTATTTCTAATAAATATCTATTAGTTTTTTATATTTGCAAGTTTTTTTTCTTTGTATTTTTAGTTTTCAACTGCATTAAGGATTTTTTATATGAAAATTTGAATGCGTTTGTGCGATTTTGTGCAACTCATTGTCGATTTACAAATGCATAACCAATGAAAGCGTAATCCCAGAAAATTTTAAAATTTGATAGATAACTTAGGTAACATTTTTGAAAGATATAATAGGTTTGATTCAATAATAATGCTGAATTTGTTAAAATAAAATTAATGGATGCTGTGAATATTTTTGGCGAAATGTTTCTATATCGATAAAGTCTGTATGGGTTGTAATGAAACATAACCTTAAAGAATAATTTTTGTTTTTAATGATTATAGAAACTTATTGTTTGATCAATTTAAGAATTTTATACAAGGTATGCCTTTTTATCATTTTCTATTTCATTAAAAGTTCCAGGCAAGAAATTATGCATAAGTTCAATTATAATTCTCAAAATATGTTTGATGATGCTCTATAGAGCTTTTGGATTGAGGAAGATTAAAAATTTTCTTTTATTAGAATTACTCCACTATTTATTCATATTAGAAAAAAAAAATCATTAAAATGCTTCCTGTTAAGCACATGTCGATACTAGTACTTTAAGTGAACTGAATTGAGCTAATCAAGAGCTTATTTGAGCTCAATCGTGTTTATTTTAATCTTATTTGAGCTTGACTCGAGTCAATTTGAGTTTTTTTAATGTGTCTAAGCTTGGTTCTTTAAGATCATGGTTATTTGAACTAGATTTGAGCTCGACACGAGTTTGATTCATATTGAGATTATTCAATCTATTCATGAGTAGCTTATTTAGCAAAATAAATGAGCTTCTCATTTGGAAAAGTAAACAAGCCTTGTTAACTCGAGCTTGTTGAGCTTAAATAATTAAATTTTAATTTAATATACCTTTTAAACTTTGGGATAAGTACTGCTAAATTTTTTAAATATTTATTAAATCATTTCAAAAAATTTTCAAGCAGAGATCCAATATGAGCTACAAGGTCACAAAATTACACAATCGATCTTAATGCTAGAGCTTTATGTTTTAAACTATATAAATAGTACTACTTTAAGCATCTAATTGTTGTGGGCTGAAACACAATTGTATTGGTCTAGTGGATTATGTGGTTGAGGGAAAAATCGAAATAAACATCCAGTGATGTTGGGGAAAATTAAGATTTTTGTGGTTTAATCAATTATGCCATTTTCAAGTTGAATGAATATGTTTATTTTATATTCTAAAGAGAATCGAAATATTTATAATAAGCCATGATTGAGCTTTAATTAAGCTTCTTAACGAGCTTTAAATGATATTTTTTATGATAAATAAATAAAAAATGAGCTATTTAATCATGTTTCTTTATCAATCAAGTTTTTTTTAAAATATTTGAGCTTGCTTGATTAGCTAATCAAATGATCATGAGCGAGCATTGATGGAGTCAAGCCATAAGTATCTTATCAAATGCATGGTTTGTTTGT